CCTAGTGCGGACCGCGTAACAATGACCGCGGTCGCACTAGGAGGTTTAGAGACTGGACATTTTCGAGCCTAAGGTCACGCGGCCGCGGTAGGATTCACGCAGCCCACGGAGAAGCTTCGTGGCCGCACTCCTGCTCTGTGCGGTCTGCGTTCATAGGGTTCAGCAAAGGGGCATTTGTCCTCATGCGGTCCGCGGTCACGTCTGCGCGAACCGCACCAGTTGCCTTCGCGGCCGCGGTACACTCCCACGCGGTCTGCATCCCCTAGTTCAAGTCATCAAACAACTGAAACCTAAGAGCCAGTGCGGCCGCGATCCATTTTGTGCGGCCCGCACTGACCCCACAGGGGTATTTTTGTCCAGTTTTTTCAGCCTAGTATAAATAGAACATTTTACTATTTTTTTTAGAGAGAGGTCAAATCTGAGAACAGGAGAATAGCTACGCTTGGTGTTGTAGCCATTTTTGGCATATTTGCTTCCCATTAACAATAGATTATTGTAGTTTCTTCTTAGTAATTAATTAATATGTGTAGTTCTTCATCTATTTCTTCAATTTCTTCTTTAATTATGTGTAGCTAAACCCATTAGCTAGGGTTGTAGCTCAACCCTAGTGTGGGTAATTGATGGGTGTTGCCATCTAGGGTTAGATTGACTATGGGTGTTCGTTATTTGGGTTGATTTTATGATTTAATTTAGAATTGGTGGTTGCAAACACTGATTCAAGCTTTGCGGGTTTAACTCTTCTTGAGAAAGAGAGTTTATGACCTCAAAATTGACCCAACAAGGAATTGGGATGGACTCATGAGAAATGATAGTCCCAATTAACGGATTAAATCTCGAAAGAGTAGTCACCCTACTTGAACCCTAGTTGCTTGGTCTAATTTGCCAACCCAATTGGTCTCGAGAGAGTCAATTAGGTAAAATCATTCTCTCTACCGAGAGGTGTGAGAATGGGTAAAAATTGTGCAACGATTATAGCATAACCCCCAAACAAGTCAATCGAACCTAAGTAACATCACCCATCAATTAGCCACCAAGGTAATGCCACAACCCTAGTGATCTTCCTTTCCATTAATTACAACTTAGCAATATTCTCCTAGCATAATCTAGCTTTAATTTGTAGTTTTATAATAGTAGTTATAAATACAAAAACTCAAAAGATGATTGAAGTGACATGAGAAGCACAACCACAACTCTAGGCTAGACAGAAAATACAACTCCACTACTAGCTCCTTGTGAAAATTCGATCCCGGACCTCTATTCGGGTAAAAGCTATTGCGATCCGCTCTTCCTACCATAGTGTAGTGTCGAGTCGGCAGCGATCAAACTTCTCATTGTAGGATCCTGCAATCTGTTGTTCTATGGCCATGGTCATTGTGAAACTCACACCAAAATTCCTGACTTTTTTTGCTAGGATCTAACCTCATCTCTCTCTGCCATCGCACATTGTCACACATTCCTCTTAGAACAACTACCAAATCTGATGTGCTAAATTTGAAATTGTAATCTCATATTCTTGATCAAGAGTTTGGATCACTATTTCTGCCCGTGTCCCGTTCCCTTTTGAATTGGGAAGACTCGTCTCCTTTTGTCTCGATCTTGAATCAAACCGTGCATGTTCTTGTTTAGATCGGGAATCTCGTCCCGTGGTTCCCATATAAGGCTTGTACCTGTTCTTACCAATCCTCCTTTCTGTATCTAAACGTCTAGATTCGGGCCTTTCCTCTACCTTTTGGCTAGGAAACCGTATCTTCTTTTATTCATAACTTCATACAGTATCTGTTATACATGTCATTCTAGGTAGTTGCAAGAAACTCCCGCAGACTTTCTTTCAATCTTCTCGTGGCTTCTGAACTTTTCTTATTCATATTACTTGCAAACTCCATAGTTGCCAGTTATCAGGTACACTTGATAGCATCATTCTCTCCCGCTGAAATCTATCCACGAATTTCCTGAGCAATTCTGTGCTTTACTTTGAAGATATCTTCCATCTTTTTTCTACTTTTTGGGCTCCCGAATGTTCTTTTATAAATGAATCTGCAAGCTCAACGAAAGAGTCAATAGGATTTTCAGGTAAGAATGAATACCACGTTAATGCTCCTTTCGTGAGGGTTTCGCCGAATTTTTTCACCAAGACTGGTTCAATTTCCTGCTTGGTTAAGTCATTGACTTTAACTCCTGTGGTAAATACGGTAACATGGTCCTATGGGTCAGTGGTCCCGTCGCATTTAGAGATATCGAACATCTTGAACTTTTTGGGAATTAGCAAAGGTGCCGCACTCGGCTTCCAGGGCTGTTATGAATATTTGTCAATATCTACTCCTTTGATCATTGATGGCGCTCCAGGTATCTGTTCTATCCGCTAATTTTGTTCCTTGAGCTGTTTCTGCAAGGTTAATATCAAACTTTGCAAATTAGAGTTATTTGGTGTACCTGACCCTCCGTCTCCAGATTCGTTAGGTATTTCTCCACTTCCTAAGTTATCAAGCCCTGAACGAGGATTTTTCATAGTTGTATTTACTGGTGGAGGGGTCTGCACAATATTGGGCAACCCACTTGCAAAAGCACGCAAAGCTTCACCAACTTGTTGCGCAATTATCTGCTTCAAATTATCCTGCTCGTTGGCTTGTTCACCAACTTGTTGTCCATCGTTACAAGTAATAGACCTTTCAGGTCAACTGTCTCGTGAGCGTTGGGGAGTTGTTGTGGGTGTATGGTGTGGTGGAGTTCCACCTTGTTGTCTTTCTTGAACTCTCTCACCCACCTGAACAATTTCGTTAGTAGTAGACATGCGTTGTTGCTAAAGATAAAAATATGAAAAGTGAACAAATTATCAAATTCTCGGTAACATAACCAATTTGTTTAACTAAAAAATAATTTTTGTGGTCAAAGTCAATATTAAAGAAAATCGGGTTTCTAATAACTAAGTTTACTTTACTTTTCCAAAAATAAGAAAATAAAATAAATGAAGGAAAGAAATTTTATTGATGTTCGATATGTTCTCCCAAGAATTGTGAACAAGAATCTCCAATCAAGTACGATATAAATGTAATAGACCGATTGCATATATTTGTGAGTATTGTGATGATCATAAAAAATATGGTAAGGACCTTTATATAAGGATACAAAAATATAACAGATTTTCTTACTTAATTCATACTCTTTACTAACATTAATTGCATTAATTGCCGTTACTGAAGTTACTCGTAATGATTATGGTAATAATAGGCGATGGCGCATAATCAAGGATAATGATGATTCTCTTTCCATATTCGTTATTGTTCATGAATCTTCCCCTTTTTATGGCATTCATGCTTGTCGTGCCTATTTCTTCTTTCCCATGACAGATACAATACCTTCTTCAGTATATTCTGCGAGTGTTTTAATCGTGCCTCATCATTCTTCTTTACTAATCTAATACTAATGCCACTTGTCACCTTATCGTCAATCCACGTGTCATGCCTATTTTTTCACCAATACAATTACCAAACTGTTCTCTTTAATTTAACTTTTACATTTTAATAAGATAATAAAGCCTCTTATAACAAATATTTAAGATAATATGTTTATTTAAATAATACCAAATCTTAGAGTCATGTCATTTTTCGTAGTTGATCTGGCCATATACAAACCACAACTCTTCACGTTATCTTTTGAAACTACTTTAAAAAACCATATAAAAAAACAAAAATAAATTTTTTTGATCAAAACGTCACGCAACAAGTTATCTTTCCATATTTTATTCAACCATATTTTCCATATACGGTATTTTTTCACATTTTTTAACCAATCAAAAGTTGGAGACAAGACACGTCGACCCTAGGGTTGTAAATGTAGGCTTAACGTGCGTCCACAACTAAAAGGTCCCGGGGCTGCCCACCGTCCAGTAATCATCCAAAAAGCACCACCTCTCGCCTATCGATTTAGATTTTCGTTGATAGTGAATGCCACGCGCTTCTCTTGGTGAGTATGATTCATTATTCCTTAAGTGGCCAATTTATACGATGAGCTGGATTGGCCCAGCACTCATCTGACAGCGAAATTTAGCTGCCAATAGCAATGGCTATTTAGTAAATCTACGTAGATTCAAGGGCTAAAAATTACTCCCTCCGTTCCAATTTATGTCAAACTTTTTGTAATTTATGATTGAGCACGGAGTTTAAGAAAAAATGAATTTTTTTGTAATTTATGGTCCTAAACAAATTACAAAGGGGCCCAGAGAATTTATGTGGTTATAAAACCTTCTCGTTAAGATAGAGTAGAATTGTAAGTTTAAGCTAAATTAAAGCAAATACTTTCTCACAGACACACCGAAAGGGAGGGGGTAGTTACAATATTTGTCTCCAACCATAATAATTTCGTCCCGTATCTCCTATGAGTGATTTGATATTTGTACGCATATACGATAAACAGCAGCGAGGGAAAAGAAGTTACCCAAAGGATATTTGTGAAGTGTCTGAGAGGGATCTTTATTTTTTATACTGATATTCTTATATACAGATCTCTCTCTTTTCTTTTGTTTCCGTTTCCTCACATCAGCCATGGGTATCTGGGAAGCTTTTCTCAATTGGCTTCGAAGGTATATTTCCTTTTCTTAATTTATTTTTGTATAATGAGCTTTTCAAAGTATAATTGCTTGGAGAAAGGACATACAGATAATAAAGGTAAATAGGATCCTTATAATCTATCAAAATTAATTTGAGATTGAGGCTTGTTAATATGCCGTTGTTGACTTATGGATTTGAAAATAAATAAATAAATATAGGGATATTATTGTTAAAGGTATATGAATTTGTCCTGTGATGTACGATCTGTCTTCCTTTTGTTTGTTTCTTTTTTCCTACTTGGGTGCGTTATCTGTTGAACGGTTTTTAAGCTTATGGGTTCGAAATTCTAAGAATATTAAGTTATTGAGTTCTAAATTATTAAATTGTAAATAATAAATGAATTCTTGAAGACAAATACAGAGTTTGAGCCAAAGCTACTGGGTTCGCCAAACCCGTAGCCAAAACACTGGCTCCGCCTGTGCCTCTGGTACTGTGACCTCGTATTTGTTTTGTTTGAGATTTCTGGAATTTGGAAAAGGAGGATATGATTTCTGCATCTTCTTTTTCGTTTTGTTTGCTTAATGAGTATAAAAGTAATCATCATATTCCCATATATCATAGAAGTTTATATCACTGACTTCATCTCGTGGAAAAGAAATTGGAGTGGGAGATCAATGGCAGCAAACATTCAGTCTGTTTTATCAGATATGGGCATAACATGGTTTTGGATTTTGAAGCTATCTGGCTACGAGATGTTGAACTGTCTATAAAAAGATGTTCTTTTTTCTCAATTCTATCCTTAGAGTTGTCTTATCTGAGCCTCTTCATCCAGTTCTGAAAGAGTTACTCTGAGGTTACTAAACCTCTCTATTGTACTTCACTACTACACCTCCCACCAAGGCATGGCAACAGACACGAAAGATTTATTTTTTAACAGTGCAAGGAGATTTTCTACTTTGAAACGACAAGAAATCTGTTCTGCCCTTCGGTACAAGTGAGCGTTTTAGGATAAATCGGGTAGTTTTCATTCACACTTGTCATATTGGCCTGTTGAAAACTTGTATATTTTTTGCTACTATAAGAAGGGATTTCATATCTTCTCTTCCAAGGTTCCCGTGCCAGCTGAAATCATGTTTCTGTGTCCTTAGATGGTCTCTTATATTTTGCTCTCTTTGTTCTTGACAAGGTATTGAGAACTTAATCCTGTTGTCATTGTATCCTTTGGTTTATTTACTTTTTCAGATTTGGCTGAACCATTTCCCTTCTTCTCTTATTTGAATTTTTCACCCTAATCCTTGAAGTTCTTACAGCTTTTGATCTTTCTATGTTTTTTGCAAAATGATTAGTGTCTTCCTTGGGAGTCATTACTCTATACAGATTATTTGTCTGGTCAGTGATGACTACCTCTTTTCAGAGAAAATAAAGTATATATGTTAATGCGAGAGAGGGTCTATTACCTAACTATGTTGTTGGAAACGGCTTTCATATTCTTAAAAGGACTAGATACTGAATGGTGAAACAATTTGTAAAGTAAATGTCTTTTGAGAAAGGTAACAACAACAATTTGTAAAGTAAATTTTCAGTGCCCTTTTTGCTTTTGTTTATTCAGCAGTTGATACTTTCCCTTGAGCTTCCATCAGATGCAAAAATTTCTCCTGAGTTTCAACTGGGGTTGTTCGGGAAATGAATGGACCGAAAACTAAAATCTGACAGTTGCCCATCCGTTTCAGTTTTGTATTATCCCACCGTGCTGTGTACTTTAGACATTGTAGGTGCTATTAGTGTAAGGTCTTTCAATTGTGTTGTTGTGGCTCTGTTATTTCTGAGTTTGGAACTTGATTGTTGAAACATATTGCTATCTTCTTTCTGAGGTGGACTTAAAAGTATAATACATATAGGAATTTCGATATTATAAATGTACTTGTGCTGATCACTATGTTTCCTTTGGCTCTTATGAAATGATTCCTCATGTCAAAACTTGCTTGTTCCTTCAGCCTCTTCTTTAAGCAGGAAATGGAGCTTTCATTGATAGGATTGCAAAATGCGGGGAAAACATCTCTTGTAAATGTTATTGCTGTAAGTAAATTTCTAGTTAACATTCTAGTGCCAACTCATCGTTATGGTTTCACTTACTTTTGCTTCCATATAACCAATGGAATCTGACACCTTAATGGGTTTGTTCCTCTCTTCTCATTCTTAGACTGGTGGATACAGTGAAGACATGATACCAACAGTAAGTTTTCATCCTAAAGCATCTCATACCAGTTTTTTGTTTTTAGCCAATTCTGCTAAATACTTGATTTTTCATAATTATAAGAACTTTTTTTTTATTTTTATATTCAGGTGGGATTTAACATGCGCAAAGTGACTAAAGGAAATGTGACTATAAAATTGTGGGACCTTGGAGGTCAACCCAGATTCCGCAGCATGTGGGAGAGATACTGTCGTGCAGTTTCTGCTATAGTGTATGCATCTGCCTTCCAGCTTATTTGAATTACTTTAACAGATAGATCTTGATGAATCCATTTATACACTCAGTTATCACCTTTACTTTTATTAGTAGGCTCACTTCTATGTTAGCTATCCTGAGTGCTTTACGAGTTTGTGTCGTATAATAGTACTATTGAAGTATTAGAAGACAACACATGGTAAATGGTGGGTCTTCTTATGAATTGAGATGAATTTCGTTTTCTTCATGGTTTATAAATGAACAGTTTATGGAAGCTCATGGTTTGCCTGATCAAGTTATCCGATCTGGCGCTTGACAGATCTATGTTTTTATGCCTTGGATAGGTGGAATTCCTTGATCTTGACCGTCTCCCTGTATTATAAAGGAATGATACTAAATAATGAACTCCTCAGAGTTTTAATAAATTTCAACGATAAAGTGTTTCACGCATATGTATGAGTTTTAATATTGTAGCCCTGAGTTATTTTGTTTCTGAATTCCTTAAATGCCCTTCCCTGCAGTTATGTTGTTGATGCTGCTGATCCTGATAACCTCAGCATTTCAAGTAGTGAACTCCATGACCTGCTGGGCAAGCCATCGCTGAGTGGTATTCCATTACTTGTATTGGGGAACAAGATTGACAAGCCCGGTGCCCAGTCCAAGCAGGCTTTGACTGACCAGATGTAAGTGCAGAAAATTACGTGCGAGTGATTGGTGGCCTTTTACGGCCTTAGGTTACATTATGGTTGGTTTGTGGAAGGGAAGGAAAAGTTTAATCTTTCAGTTCAGATCTATAAAATTGGAAAGGAAGCAAAAGAGATTTCACATGGTTTAGAAAAAGCTTTTGGCAGGGGATGCAAATGCCTCTGCATGTCCTCCTCTTCATATCTAGTTGCAAAGAAAGATGGGATCTTAACCTTATCCCTCCTTCCCCGTCCTATTTTTTGAACCCTAGTCACATAGCTTTAACTATCTCTATATGGAGTTATCTTAAAGAATATTATGTTGTTTTGCAGGGGATTGAAATCAATAACTGATAGAGAAGTATGCTGCTATATGATCTCGTGCAAGAACTCCACTAATATTGACTCAGTCATTGATTGGCTTGTTAAGCACTCGAAATCAAAGAGCTAAGGATCACACTTTTTTGTAGTACTGATTTGTATGTTAACTTTGTGAGGCTATTGGTTTTTTCTGCTGGTTTCTCCAGAGTTCTCCTTGTATTGTATATTAAATTATTATTGAAAGAGTTCTTACATGTTTCTTTTTTTCTTTTTGGGATTTTCTGTGTCAACTCTCTCTATTGTCTGTGCCTTTCCTCTTTTATAGTGTTTGCGAATTTGTGTGAAGGGAGACCTTTGATTTATTAGAAGAAAGAAAGAAACCTGAGTGATCATTACTTTTCTGTTATATCGGAGCCCCAATTACTGATGGCAAATTATGTATATTCTTTGATTATGTGAGCTTCAATAGTTGATCTCTGTCAAATTCTCTTAACATTGGAATGATGCTACTTCTATTGCGTTGGTGAAGGGCAGTAAAAGAAAATGGTTTTTTTTATCATTAATGCTTCCAAAATTTACTATTGTAAGAATATGATGTGAGTATTTTAATAATAAAAATACGTGATATACAGTGTGACATTATTATTTCTATATGTTGAGACGTAAATAGGCAAATTTTAAGTTAAGAAATAATTTATATGTAAAAGTAATGTGAGTTTAGTACAATGGAAAATGTTTTTCTACAAAATGTTACATGTAGAAAATAAATTTCCTTTTCCAGCTATCTACTCAAATTAACATTTAGATGTCATTATATATTTTTGGTACTCAAGATACTAATATCTAATTTGCTAACATTTTAATTATCAATTTATTACGAAAAGAAGAAAAGAAATGCTCCTATTGAAATCCAAATAAAAGAAATCAAATTCCTGGTAGTCTTATCAGCAAAGAGCGGGGAGTACCAACTCTGTAATTGCCTCAGTTCACTTCCCTTCTCATCCCTCCATTTCCATGGAAGCCTCCACCGGACCTCCACGTCTTCCTTCTCCGTCACCATCAATAAACGTCGAAAAGTTAAAGCAAAACCTCCTGCAAAACGGCGTCGACCCAACTCCCAAAATCGTCCACACTCTCCGCAAAAAGCACCTTCAGAAATTCAACCGACGTCTTGCCAAAAAAGCCGCTAAAGAACCCGAACCGCTCACGGAAACCCAAACACAAGCCCTTGCCGAAGAATCATATTTCCACGCCGTTAAGTCAGAGTACAAAAGCTTCAACAAAGAGGTGAATGCCAAAAATGATGTGAAAATGGTGGGAAGGCCTTGGGAGAGAATTGAGAAACTCAAATTGCAAGAGCTTTCTAGTGAGAGTAAAGTGTATTCTGGTGATAAATTGAATTCTGAGCATCTTTGGGAGCTCAGTGATATAATTGAGAGTGAAAGAGATAAATTCTCATGGCTTTTGGATTATGGTGTTGAAATTAAACAAGGATGGTTCGATAATGAAAGTGATAACTGGGACTATACACGTCGTCGTAGAGGCGAAGCTGAGACTATTCGGTTTGTTATTGACAGGTGCGTGAACCCCAACTAATTTGAAATTGAGATGTTGTTATTTTTGTTGAACTGATAGGTGGCAATATAGCTAATCCGATTAGTTTGGCATTAAGGCGTAATTGTTGTTATCGTCATAGTACGATTGATAAGTGTATGAATATTGCACGATTGATAAGTGTATGAATATTGCATGTTTACAGTAGGTTAAAGCAGAGACGGATCCAGACTTTGAAGTTTATGGGTTCCGATAACCATTTCAAATTATCAATTGGGTTCACAATCAAATATTTATAAATATTTAAATTTTTTTACATATACAAGGACCGTACAAAAGCTATTGGGTTCCCGGGAACCCGCATGCTATCCTCTAGATCCACCACTGGTTAAAGAATGCTGATAATTTTCTCAATTCTTGTTGTAGATTGAGTGGGACAGAACTAGGTGTGAAGGATTATAAGTTCTCTAAGTTGATGAAACACTCGGGATTGCAGTTTACTGAGGAGCAAATGCTGAGGTTAGTGGAAGGGCTTGGTGAAAAGGGACAGTGGAGACACGCATTGTCTGTTGTACACTGGGTTTTCAACTCTAAGGAACACAGACGCTGCAAGAGCAGGTACATATGTTTTATATATGGTTTTGTTTTCAGAGCTACAGTGTGGTCAATTGTAAATCTTTCATGTGTATATGTTGCTTCTATTTCCTTGAAAAAAGAGAAAACAATTTGTTTGGTCTATCTAGGTTTGTGTACACAAAACTGTTGGCAGTTCTGGGGAAAGCAAGGAGGCCCCGTGAAGCTCTTCAAGTTTTCAATTTGATGAGAGTATATCCTAACTCTTATGTGTCAGCTCCTTCTTCAATATACTCATATGATGTGGTTGGAGAGAGTTTAACACTATGTGATGTTTAGGGAGATGCCCATATTTACCCTGATATGGCAGCCTACCATAGCGTGGCAGTTACACTTGGCCAAGCTGGTCTGCTCAAAGAGTTGATCAACATCATTGACTGCATGAAGCAAAAACCTGAAAAGATAAAGTACATGCGGAAGAAGAACTGGGATCCTGTTCTTCAACCGGATCTTGTGGTATATAATGCTGTAAGTAATTGTTGTCCTTTCTATTTGTCTTTTTTCTTTTCTGATAAATAAGTAGTGATAGTTTTTGTACTTTGGAGGTCCCAATTTTGTTTTTTCTGTTCAATAATCTGCTCATATTTGTGACTTCAATGCTCTTAACTAAATGGCTGCCAGGTTTTAAATGCTTGTGTACCATCCCGCCAGTGGAGGGGAGTGTCCTGGGCTTTTGAGCAGCTGAGAAAGAATGGTCTTAAGCCTAATGGGCCAAGCTATGGACTCGCGATGGAGGTAGTTCATACTTTTTTCCCCTTTTAGTTTTAATAAAGTTGACTTTGTATTACTCACAGAGTCTAGCACTAAGAAAATGCTACGAGTTACAAAAATAATTAGCTTTACGCCTTCAAAATGAAAAGAATTATTTATAATATCTGGAGGTGATCCATACCTTTGATACCAGTACGGAGCAATTGATATTACAGTGATTGTTTGTTTATTCTCTTGCTTCACAATGAGCATTTGCATGTCTCCCTGGCACAGTAAACTGCATATAGATTTTAGACTAGCATCATCAAACAACCATTCAGTAAGTATTCAGGTAGTTGCTAATTGCAGCGTGCTATGTACCATCTAATGCTTGTCATTTATCTCCAAATAGTTATTGCAGCATTATAAGTATGACAAGTGATGCTGCACTTTTATTGAAAGGTAATGTTGCAATCTGGAAAATTTGACCTTGTCCATGAGTTTTTTGGAAAGATGAAGAGAAGTGGGGAAGCCCTAAAAGCTCTTAGTTATAAAGGTAAGATGGTTTTCTT